CAAAATAGTATTTAAACATGCATGTATATTTTTCTCATATATACATACATACATACTGTTATGGCTCATATCTAGATGTCCCTCTGAAGCCTCATACACTCATATGGGGCTTTTGGGAGGTGAGTGGATCTAGGGTGTGTGAATATGGATCAAAGGTGTGTGACATCTGGATTAGTCTTCTAGTTGGATTACCACAGCTCTGGGTTTGGCTGAATGGATTTACTGAAGTGAGAAACCTCACCCTGGGTCTGGGTAGCACCAATCAGTAGTTTCATAGCCTGGATGGAATCTAAAGGACAGAAAGAAGGTAGCTTTCTGCTTCCTCCTACCCTGCCATGGACTGTTTCTACTCTGTGATGCCCCTCTGCCACAACCCCTGCCTTGGAGCCAGCCGACTCTGCATGAAACCTCTATAAACTGTGAGCAAAATAAACTTTTCTCCTTTGACTTTGGGTGTTGGGTATTTGTTCTCAGGAACAGGAAAAGTAACTAAGACACACACATACACACAAATATAGAAACTAGGCTGTTACAGGTAGTGGCATTTTATATCAGGGATAGAGCTATATTTAGTATTTTTAAAAAATTAGGTAGCTGGGCTGGGGATTTAACTCAGTGAGGCCACACGTGCCTCCCAAGCGCGAGGTCCTGAGAGTTCGATCCCTGGTACCAGAAAAAAATAATAAATAAAAAATAAATAAAAATTAAGTAGAGTCCTGCCGCCTTACACCACATATAAAAACAAATTCCAAGATGATGAAAAATATTTAGAGGCCGGGGATATGACTGGGTGGTAGAATGGTTGTCAAGCATGTATGAATCCCTGGCTTTGACCACCAGCACTGAATGAATGAATAAACAAACAAATAAATAAATAAATAAATAAAACAAGGGCCTAAAGAAAAGATAGAAACGCCAGGGATTTAGCTCAGTGGTTCCACCGCCTGCCTTGCAAGCGCAAGGACCCCAGTTCGATCCCCGGTACCGAAAAGAAAAAAAGAAGCCATAAAAGAAAATTCTCATATAGAAGAAAAAAAGAAAGAAAAGAGATACAATATATAGTTAAAAGATAACAGACTCTTAAGAAAATACTCATAACATACTTAAAATATAAGAGGGCCGGGGATTTAGCTCAGTGGTTTCGATGCCTGCTACGCAAGCGCAAGGACCCGAGTTTGATCCCCGGTACCAAAAAAAA